TCTGCCAGGGCGATGCTCGGTGCCGCAGCTCTGTGGGGAGGATGTGCCCAGTGAGAGGGGAGCACAGCTCCCACCCCAGGGCAGGAGGTTGAGGGGGCCCCGAAGTGCCAAGGTTGGGGGGTAACAACCCCCAGCCCATCTCCCAGCCACCCTCCCTCCACAGAGCATGGACTGCCAGGGACCAGTGCTCCCAGTGCCAGGCTGGAGGGCACCCAGTGTCCCCTCCCCCTGCCAGGCTCCTCACCCAGCTTCCTCCTCTTGCTCCGGATGGCAAAGAATTGCTCCCGCAGCATCTCCATGTCCAGATTCAGCCAGCAGGAAGCTTTGCCTGCTTGGGAGAGACCCAAGGGGCTCAGGGGGGGATGAGAGCTCCTGTGTGGTTGGGTAGAGGGGCCCCCAATCCACCCCGTGCTCCCCTTTGCCAAGCAGCAGCACCCACCAGAGCGGATCCTGTGGGACACAGCGGCTTCCTCAAACCTCGTGCAGCTCAGCTGCTCATCCAGGTCTTCCAGGAGCTGGGGGAGGATGAGGAGCCTGTGAGTGGCTGCTGGGGTGTGTGAATGGCTCCCCGTGCCCATGGTGGGTGACCAGACAGCCCTGGGGGCACTCACTCCCAAATCTGGGCAGAGGGATTGTGGGGTGATGCCTTACCCGGGGTTTCACCAGCAGCTTCCCAGTGACAGTGAACATGGTGGAGAGGCCAAAGGGGGTGCACACTGTGGTGGGAGGAGAGGCTGAACAGGAGGTGCTCCACCATCCTACCCCTCCCCACACCCTCAGAAGGATCCTGGAGGCTTCAGCCATGAGTCATGGCCCCTCCAGACCCCATTTGGATGGAGCACCAGCAGGGCCTCGTGGGGGGCACAACTTACACAGCAGCAGCAGGACACCAAAAAGCGAGATGCAGGAGTAGAGGTAGGGCAGATAATATTCCCAGAGATCTGCAGAGACAGCAGGATCAGGCCAGTGGCGCCAGAGATCCTTCGTTCCACTCAGTGCCAGGGTCTGATCCTGGAGCAGGCAGAGCCCAGCTCACCCACCGTAGAGTGACTGGCGACTGGCAGCATCGTTGCCCACGATGGCAGAGGCCACCCAGACCATGCCCAGCACCAGCAGCGTCAGCAGCAGCAGCACCACCGACGTCTCATACACCCTGGCCATGATGCCCTGCAGGAGCTGGGTTAGCAGGGAGTCACAGAGAAGGGGGACAGAGGGGACAAGTGAAGGATCACCCACCTTCTTGGATCCTGCAAACCCCTCTGACTCGGTGAAGAAGTAGGCAAAGGGCATGAGGAAGACCAGGGACATATTGGAGAAGAGGAAAACCAAATTCCAGAGGCCTGGAAGAGGGGGAATGGCATGGGGTGAGCTCCCAGGCAGGGCAACCCTGACCCACAGATTTTGGGGACACTCCAGGGTCACCCTGTGCACCCACCATGAATGAGGGACCCATTGAGCCACTGGATGTAGTAGTTCTGGGGGAAGGAGAGCAGCACCTCGTTGCTGATGATGGAGAAGGGCAGGAGGAGGACAGCACCCAGTGCCACAGCCAGGGTGAAGGTACAGAGCCCCAGCCTGCCACAGGCACAAGCAGGGTCAGGGTTCCTCTGGGTGTCACAGCCCAGCTCTGCCCCCCAGCATCACCAGCACCCACAGGACATGGTGTTCTGGCTGAGGAAGAGGCCGAGTACCAGGGAAGGGGACAAGCAGGAACTTACGCAATCCTGTTGACAGCAGCATCCTCGTCATCGTGAACTGTGGGGACAAAATCCCAAACCAAAGGACTGGGGGAGCTACGGCTGCCCAGAGCATCGCTGCCTCCCCCTGCCCAAGTTCTCCCCACTCCAAATCCTACAGAAATCCTCCCAGGGAATTCTGGCTTTGTTCCCACCTAGGTCAGCAATTGGTGTCAGGGCAATCAGGCTGTGGTGGGACTGGGGCTGCTGAGGGAGGTAAAAGCAATGGAGGAAGAGGAAGAACCCTGGGGAGGCTGAATGTGGCTTCAAGGGCTGCCTGGCTCTGGCAGCTCCCACTCTCTTACCTGCTGTGAAATCCGTGTGCTTCTTAAAGTGGGTTATGATGAAGTGGCAGAGGATGTAGAGGCTGGCGAAGAGCAGGGCACAGATCTGTGGGCAGAGGAGTGTGGGCATGCCCTGAGGGCAGCTCCCCTACCCCAGCTCCTTCCCCAGTGATGCTGCCAGCCCTGGGGCTTGTCAGCTCCACCCTATTTGTTTTTCCACTCCTGGCCCTGGTTACACCCCACTCGTGTGCTCAGACCTATCTGTTCAATGGGGACTGCACCCAGCGTTCACACATGGGTGCCCACAAACTGGCACAGCACCCAGGCTGGGGGGAGGGGGCTGAGACCCCACCCAAGAAGATCTGGATCAGCCTGTGCTGGCAAATCTGTGACCCCGTGGGACATCCCTGAACTATCCGATCCCACAGCCCTGGCCTTGCTGGCAGAGCCACGAGAACAGCCTTGAATCAGGCGCCAAGGACATCTGCGGTGTCCCTGCTGCCCCCGCTGGAACAGCGCAGGCGATGTTCAGGGAACACGGCGACCTTTCATCCCTCTGGTACGCGTCAGGATGAGGAAAGGTCGCCTGGATCCTCCACCTTGGCACAGGTGCAGTGGGGAGCAGCGGTGGCACCTCCCTTCTGCCTGCCTGGGGGTGCTCTGAGTTCTGCCTGAGGGTGCCCAGGGTCTGCCCGTGGCGGAGCAGGGAGCCCCCAGAGCTGGCCCAGAAGGGCAGTACCCAGCAGGTCCTTCTGCTGATGCTCCCACCCGGTGAAGGGTCTCTGGCCACAGTTCCCTCCTGCCATGGGCTGTACCCCACAGACCAATGCTCTGCCTGGTGGGGGGACCCCCAACTCCTCCTGTACTCAGTGAAATTTGGCTAAATACGTTTTGTGTGCCAAGCCAGGGGCTCCTGGCTGGGATGCAGCTCCCTGGAATGGAGGTCTGGGGAGCTCCAGGGCAGAGCTGCCAGGCTTTGGCCACCAGCTCCTCCCTGTAGGCACCGAATGTGGCTGTGGCAAGGTAGCCTTGGCACTGCCAGTCACAGCCCACTTGGCTGCCGTGCCAAGGCCTTTAGGAGATGCCAGGACTGGGACATCCATATCATCCCCATCCCTGAGCCTGTGGCAGCAGGAGCAGAGGAGCAAACCCAGCTGTGTCCCTCTGCGGTACCCGAGGTTTAGGGAGCTCTGTAGGGTCCTGCTGACCCCGAGCTGCTGGCCTGGGGACAAGGACCGAGCCAGGAGCCTGGCATGGGGCTGGCCCGGCTCTGACACCAGCACAGCCCAGCACTGCCAGCCCTCCCAGCACGACGGGAGCGCAGCTGGGACTGCTGGAGCCGGCAGAGGGGTCGCGGCAGGGGCTCGGCAGGGTCCAGCCCTGGGTCCCCGCTATCTGCTGGGCACACGCAGCCCCGGCGGCCCTGGCCCCGATAAGCACGGGGCGTGGAGCCCTGCCACAGCCGGGCCGTGGAGCTGCCACCGGCGATCCCGACGGTCCCACGGAGAGCTGCGAGCTCCCAGCCGCCCTCCCAACTCTCCCCGCCACACCGAGCCCCTTCCCCGCCCGCCAACCCCGGCACTCACGATGCACTCGCGGACCCTCTCGTGGAAGAGCTGCTCCCGCACGGCCAGCGCGTCCTGCTCCACAGGGGCCATTCTGCGGCCAGCATGGCAGGGCCGGGCAGGGCTGCCACGGGCAGGGGCAGGACGCCGAGGCCGGTACCGCCACGCCGGTCCAGCCGCTCCGGTACCGCCGGGAATCGCCGCTCTGAGCCCGCCGGGTCCGGCCCAGCGCCGCCGTGGGTGGCCCCGCCCCTCCCGTGGCCCCGCCCCCCTCTCCGTTACAAAGTATCCGCGCCCCCACGGCCCGAAAGAGCCCGGCAGGCCCCGCCCCCTGCCGCCCATTGGCTCCGGGGCTTGAATGAGGCGAAGCTCATTGGTGAAAGCGCGGCGTGCCGCGCGCTGATAGGCTGAGCCCGCCCGCCGCTCCCACGGGTCCGCGGCCCCAGCGCAGCCCCCCGGGATTAGGAGCAGGGATGGAGCTAATCCCGGAGCGCGGCTAATCCCGGGAGCGGTAATCACCGCGGGGGGCTGGGCTGGGCTCCCGAGAGCTGGGGGCACCCGGCAGGGCACGGCCCCCCTCCCGGATGCACCCACTGTGCTCAGCTTTGGTGGTCCCATCCTGCTCCCCCATCTAGGAGCTGAGACCCTGCACCAGTTGGTGCCCTTCACCCTACACACCCCACAGAGCCAGGAATTGGGGTTCCTCAGGATTATTGCTGGCCCCACTATTCCCAATCTCCTCCTTCCTGGCTCCGATGTGGACAGGGACACCCCCATAGCCCAGGGAACAGCTCCAGTGCAGAGTGCGCTCAGCTCCGAGGGTCCCATCCTGCCCCTCCTGCGAGCTGCTACCCTGCCCTCGGGGGGATGAAGGGATCTCACAGGGGCTCAAGCTCAGCACCCCCAAACCCCAGTTGTGCCCTAGTGCGACCCCAACGAGTGGCTGAGTTTCTCTGGGGCCACCCAGGATCCGAGGATGGAGCCATGGGGTGACATCCGTGTTTGGGAACAGACTGCAGCCACCTGTGGGCAGCCTCTGGGGGTCCCACCACCCCGCAGCTGCCACCATCTGCTCCCAAATGGCGCCCAGGGAGGACATTTTCCAGCCGGGCAGCCTGGGCAGGGCGAGGTCGGGAGGAGGAGGAGGAGGAAGAGGAAGCTCAGAGCGCAGCAGCGGGGCCGGGACTGCACCAGCTGACCCGAAACCGCGGGGATGGGCCGATGGCGTCACCCCCGGGGGGTCGCGCACATTCCCGGCCGCTCCCTGCCCCGCGCCACCTGCTCCGCGCATTCCCCGGCGCCCGGGGTTTAGGGGGGATCCGGAGCGGAGAGCGACCCCCCATGAGCCCCGCCAGGAGCCATGGAGCGGGACCAGCCCAGGGGCTCGGGTGGGGAGAAAACAGGGAATTTCGTGCTTAGGGTGGGGGGGTGAGGTTGGGGGGGCGGTCCAGGGCTGGATTTTTAGGGGGGGGAGGGTGAGTATGCGGTTGGGGGGGCGGGGCTGTGCAGCACGCCATGTACTTGCCGTGGCGAGGGTCACACTTGACCATCTGGTTGGCCGGCTCGAAGCAGGCGTTGGTGATCTCGGCCACCGTCAGCTGCTCGTGATAAGCCTTCTCAGCAGAGATGACCGGGGCGTAGGTGGCCAGCGGGAAGTGGATGCGGGGGTAGGGCACCAGGTTGGTCTGGAATTCTGTCAGGTCGACGTTCAGGGCTCCGTCAAAGCGCAGCGAGGCCGTGATGGACGACACGATCTGGCTGATGAGGCGGTTCAGGTTGGTGTAGGTGGGACGCTCGATGTCCAGGTTGCGGCGACAGATGTCGTAGATGGCCTCGTTGTCCACCATGAAGGCACAGTCGGAGTGCTCCAGGGTGGTGTGGGTGGTGAGGATGGAGTTGTAGGGCTCCACCACGGCCGTGGACACCTGCGGGGCCGGATAGATGGAGAACTCCAGCTTGGACTTCTTGCCGTAGTCGACAGAGAGCCGCTCCATGAGCAGGGAGGTGAAGCCAGAGCCGGTGCCACCGCCAAAGCTGTGGAACACCAGGAAGCCCTGCAGCCCTGTGCACTGGTCAGCCTGCGAGGTGGGAAGGGGAAAACAAGAGCAAACTGTCAGGAATTCTGAACTTCAGCTGCTACTGAAGTTGCTGAGTTGCCCAGGAAGACACATATGTCCTCCAAATATCTCAAATTTTGGGGGCACCTCTGTCCATTCCACTTCCATCCACAGCACCCTGCAATTCAGCATGACCTGACCTCAGGAGAAGGGACCCCTAACTGCCCCTTCCCTTCAGCTGCTTCCTCCTATGACCCCAGCAATCTGCTTGAGGGAAGGGGCAATCCACTAGAGCTGCCCCAGCAAGAGTTAAATACTCAGTACAGCTGCTCATAAGCAGTTGGTCAAGCAGGATCAGCATCCAGATCAAGGAGAAACCTCACATGACCTTAAAAAAGGGATGAAATAAGGTTTTCCCAGGGACAGAAATGACACAGTATCCAACAAGCTGTATCACACCCCTGGAATATGCCATGCTCAGGGTTCACACCCTGTGCTGGTGGGGTTGCAGAGCCCTGAGAAAAGGGATTCAGGTGAAGGGGAAGGGAAGGGGCTGATCCTGATCAGTCAGAGGATCCAGACCCCATAGGGAGCCAGGATGTGCGGCAGGCTGACACATGACCCACAACAAATCCATCCAGATCCTGGAGGCACAACAGGGGTCATGCAGGTCCCACCAGGAAGGTAGGAGGTCTCTCCTTGCACAACCCCACTCTCTGCCCCAAAGCACTGATGGGCTGAGGAGGACT